TACAGATGTTAAAACTAAGAATTAGAACACATTCTGTTAAAGGTAACAGCTTCTTTTTCCCGCCTTCTTATTTCTCTGATTCCTTCAAAGTATCCTCGTCTTCCTCACCATCTTCCCAGACTGAACTCTTACAGTTTTCTACAACTAAGAGCTTACTTAAGGACTCACATACTTGTATGAGCCCTGTATAATGAACCGGTTCCCTTGATCATTAAAATCTGCTGCACAGCACAGGATGGCAGATGAATGACCACTGAAACAACACACACACTTCATAACATGAGCACACACACTCAACCTGCTCCCTGTCAGAGAGACAACATTCAAAACACAGTAGTGAGGAGCCAGGTAAATTGTTCAAACCTCAGTTAAGTGTTGTATTTCACATTCCTTACCAGACCAAAAGGATTGTCAGTGTGGACTAAGTTGGTTTAGGGACCTGAGGAAGGGGAGAAATTGATGGGTTTTGCTGTTTATTTGCAAAGCACAGAATTCAGCAAAGTTGTCCAAAGCCTTGCGAATACCAGCAGTGTTGTTACTACTAACAATTAGCCATATAGTCTGTGTTGTGAAAAAATGAAATTCATTGTAAGGGAGCATCTTGTTACTGTATAATACGTGCAATAGACACGTATTTTTAGAAGTTGTAGTAAGGAGATCATTGTCCTGATAATTTTGTACAGAAGAACGTAATTTATATACATGGGAGCAAGAAATAGTTAATGTAGCCCTTCCAGTAGAAGGAAGGGCTACATTTTCCCCTACTTCAGAACTCAAACTTGTCTGTTAGAAAATAAATTTCACGTTCCAAAAAATGAAACATTTAAAGAATTTCAGCTTTCACAGAACACGTGTCCCCAAAGTGGAACTGATTTCTTGGCATCAGTGCAAAAGTCTTTCAGTTTCTAAAAGGAGAAGGGGCAGATTTTCCTGGGGAAGGAGGGAATCCAACTACTCCTTTTAGGAGTGGACATTTCTGTTGCTGTCCCATGCTGTGAGGAAGTAGCTTCTCCACTCCCAGCAGTCTTGCACTGCCTCTACCTGCTGTGCATAAGCAGTGATGGACTCCTGCAGTCCAGAGGTGTGTGTGTTTGCATGTTTTAGTCAAACTAACAAACTGTAGATATTGAAAATTAAGCAGTGAACCTGGCAGTGAGTTTTTGGTCTGCAGAAGATCCAGCATTTAGCAAATTCTATAGCAAGAGAGACTAGCTCAAAAGCAGATCAGAGAAGTATTTGTGCTCCTGAAAGAGCTGTGAGGAATTTTTCTTACAGGACTGCGATTTGACAGTCGGTTTACTTACTACTCCTCAGCAGATAAGCAGCTGGGTGTGTGTGTGAGATCATGCCACCACAGGACGTCAAGAAACAAAATTCTTCCTCCCCATCTGTGGTTTCTGGCAAACAGGTTTTGTGAATAATTGTAGGTGGGTTTTCTGAAGGGGATGGAGGTGGTGTTTAACCTGCCAGAAAGTTACATTGCTCTCTGAGCAAGACCTCAGCCTCAAGTGATGTAATGACCACTTTCAAGACCATGACCCACAGTTGCATAAACTTCTTAAAGTTGACTTCATCTCACCCAGTGACAACAGTTTTTTGTGTCTGTACATTGTGCCTGTGCCTTCACAATTTAAGAGTTATGTGATTTCTGAAGGGGAATTGTGATAAGCAGGGACCTGTGTCAGAGCTTGAGCAGAGCTGGCAACTGCTTGCAGAAGGAATGAAATCTCAAGCATTCATGTGAACAGCAGGAGCCCTGCTTTCCTTACAGGGGAGACGACTTTTAAGTATAAACAGAAAATTGTTATGGCTATTTGACAGATAACCAATTCCATAAACTTACTGGTTTTAATCAGGAAGAGGAAGCATTCCTTAAAAACAAACATTAAAAGGCTGTTCAGGATAGCCTGCATTTATATGGGACAGTTACCACTATATTAGTGCATCACAAGCAGCTGCAATATAACTGAAGAAACATATTGACACGTAATTGGCAGTTGTGTCTTCCAGTGATTCATGAGCAACATCTAATTTTGGAATTGCTGTATTCTAGGAATTCAGGGTAAGACTGCAGGGTGGGGAGCAGCAGAACTCAGATAAATGATAACCATAGCTGAGAAGAGGCACAGTAAACAGAGCTGTGAGCAAACACTTTAGACTGAAGTAGAAAGAGCAAAATACTCCTCCACACACACTGCTTAGCAAACAGATGCTGGTTCACACTGCAATAGAGAGTAGTTCCTCTATAGGATAATTTAGTGAAAAGGTACTTGAACTTCTTACATATTAATATTGAATAAATCCTGAACAGTAAACATATTGTCATTTAGATATCTGGGGTGTTTTCTAGATGTAGTAGGAGAGAAGGTGGTTGGGATTTTTTACTCTCTGCCTGGAGTTCCGAAATTTTACAGTATTATATCCATTTAATGTGCTCCTTACAACTCAGAACTCTGATTCCTTAACGTTTTTGTCATGGAGGAAAAATGTACAGGAAACTTATCAGTCACATGCTGACAGATACAATTAACAGGTACGAGGTGAGACTGCAGTGTGTATTTAAAAACATTAAAACTCTTACATACACTATTGCAGTGTATGTAACTCTGCAATATAATATCACTTACAAAAGATCTTTGAAAAGGAGTATTTCAAACTCACATTCTTACCAGTGCATCATTTAGTCTTCTAACAAAGTCTGCATTTATTATACTTTACTTCCCTGGGGGGTTGATTTTTCATATTTAAGAAACTCCTTCCAATCCTTTAGAGGTAGTTTTGGACTAAATCTCATTTGTGTGGTGAGGGTGGAAGAGCCAGAGCTGTTCCTAAGGCAGCTGAGACCTCTAGTGCCCAGTTCCTTCATTGCATGGCTAATTTTTTTTCCCCCATCAAACAATAATAAGAAATTGTTCATGTTGCTAATAAAGTGGGGACTATTGAATTGATTGGATAACTCATCCCTTTCAGTTTCTGCCTGTTCACGTTCCTACTGAGGAAGAAAAGAACGATCCCATTCTTTTTGCCTACAGAGTCCGACAAACCATGGCAACGTAAGCAGTCATCGGTTAAATCTTTGAGAATTGTTCCTTTATATCCAGAAATTCCATATATATCCTAGCCATAAAGTGAAATTTATTCAAGGCCCAGGTACTATATGTAGAAATTGCTCTAGATTTTCACTAAAAGATGTCAAATTTCTATACTAGAACAACCTGATCGTTTTTACATGGAGCATAAGAGAGGTTGTCTTACATTGAAACAGAGTATGTTCAATTCATAGAAAACTGGAATAAATTTCTCTCTTTTTGCTTGGTAAGACTAAGTAGGTGGTTCATTCTTCAAGGTTACAGGGCTGCATTTACAAGGTTGTAAATCGTAAAACATCATGACACTGCCATAACTTGGTTTCACAGTTACACAAAATAGGATGTATTGCTTTCTCCTTCTTGAAGCAGTGCAAGAATGAATTATCATTTGTTTTGCATGTTAGAGAAGGGAAATAGTTGACAAAGAGTTATCTTTGTTGAAGAAATTGATTTTTCTTTTTCCTTAATTTTGTTTCAGTGCTTTGAATGTGCCAGTCACTGATCACACCTTTGAAGATTGCAGGCTGATGATTTCAGCAGGACAGCTGACTTTACCCATGGAAGCTGGGCTGGTGGAGTTCACCAAAATTAGCAAGAAACTCAAGTAAGGGAAGTTTAGCTGTTGGTAGCAGCTGATTACTGCAGATAATTACTACAGTGCTGCAGGTATCAACAGCCATCTACAAAAGGATAAATTACCTGACAACTGACTTGGCCTTGTGTAATATTGTGTATTTATGCATACATATATACGTTTACATATATAAATTACATGGCAATCAGAGATGAGAAAAATCGCAGTAAGAATTAATCCCAAGTAATTTTTGTGGGCAATGTTGCAAGAGGAAAAATACATTTTTCTAATCTTTTATGGAATTATCTCACCAGAGGGTGAGGAAGGTAGAGCAGTACCTATTTTAAGCACTTGATGCAAATTTAAATTGCTTTAGTGGAGAGGCACTGGCAGCATGTGGCAGGAAGTAAAAACCCTCTCCAGCCTGAGGTTTCAACCAGTGGTTTACTGCTCTTAGTTGTATTGTGCAGCCATGTGTCACTAGTGATGTCAACTTTTTCTGACTGGATACAGTGGAATTTGAGGGCTGAACCATGTAACCATACAGTAACTCCATCAAATAACCTGGCATGGTTGTGGGAAAATCTGAATTATGTGTGCAGTGAATCTTGACTTACTATTTATGTGCTAAATCATAAATAATGTCAAACTGTTTGGGAGAGTTACTTGGCAATACTAATCATTCTTACTGAGGTGCAGTGATGTATTTCTGCAGAGATCAGATACTTCTGAGGCTGTTGTGATGCTGGTGTTAGGGTAGAGAGTCTGCTAATAGAGCTGAGATCTGCTTCCTCTTAGGGAAATACTCACCCTAGAGCATGATGCAGCAAAGTGATGCTACACCTGAATTTATGGTAATGAAAAGCTCTCTGCTAGAGTAGCCCAGTAATTGAACAGATGATTCTAGGTTTGGGAAGTTACTCTATGGAAGTCTGACATACCCAAGCATAGAACTGCCTGCTTTTAATATTAATAACCAGGGGGATCAGTCCTTAATTGCTGATTTAATATAAAATACCCAGTCTGAAGTACAGCATTAGAGATGCAGTGCACACATGCTCTGTTTGGCAGTCTTTTGTCTTTGAACACTGTGATCACTCCTACTGAAATTCCATCTGTCCAAGAACTGCTGTATAGAAATATCTTCTCTCCCTCATGTTTGCATAGCCTAAAATGGAAACATGTCAGAGAGCAGTTGGATACTTTTGCTGCTATTGCAAGTGCTTCCAAAGGGGGAAGAATTGGAATTGAAGAGTTCGCGGACTACTTGAAGCTGCCTGTTACAGATGTCCTCAAAGAGCTGTTTCTACTCTTTGACAGGGTGAGTAGCTGGTTAACTGACTTGTTGACAATATTTTGTTAGAAATCACATCCCAAAAGGATATTTAATTCATTATGTCCAGTAAATGTTTCTTGGTTAACAGTTCCTGTAGGCAAGATAGGTGACTCTTAGAGTTTCCTTCGTAAGTTTTGATGTAAAAACAGTGGTCAGTTTGTATCTTGGGACATGGCAGCCATCTCTTGGACCAAGTTGCTGCACCAGTATCAGACAATAATCTCCATGCTGGTAGTGGCTGAATATTTCTTTTTGCCTAGCCCAGATTTTGAGCTTACGTATTCATGTGTGTAGTTATGTACTTATGACAGCTTAATTAACTGATATAGTTGTAAGTAGATCATTTAAGGCAGAGTGAATCTAACTACAGTGTTAACTAGAACACTAGTGTTCCTGCTGTGTTTGTGAAGGGTGCTGTTAGAGTTCAGAGGGACTCCTCTTGCCTAAAGAGTCTAACTCCTGTGGCCTCCTGCAGCCATAAAGGGGGCCGTGCATTAATGTGATCATTTAGGCTTTCTCCCATGGTCAGTGCCAATCTCTCCCATTTTCTGCTTCTGTCTGAGGATGACAAAAATTGCTCTGTGGATGCCCTTCTGACTATACCAGAAGCATCAGTGACTAGAGCAGGCACAGAATTCATCTTCTAGGCACCCAGCATGTGCTGCAGTGCAAGCAGCATGTTGTCCTGCAAGCACTTATGAACTGGGGGTTTTCTCTTACCATGGGAGCTTTCCCAACTCAGCATCACTCTTGCTGATCAAGTTAACTTTAGCAACACACCTGTCCTTAGCAGGTCATTGTGTTGTAAATGCCCATTAAAACTGTTTCAGGATTTTTCCAGATAGGAAGTTTTTACAAGCTTTAAAATAGGGAAGAGTCAAATGTATTTTCTGAATTGCTGAGTGCATTGAAGCTCTAGCAGAGCTGGGTCCTCATCTTTTCATCATTCTTGCCTCCTCATCTTGGACCATTGTCTCCTTTGAGCCTGTAGTTGGAGTCCTGAAGGACAGTACATACATCAGAAATGTGGTGTGGCAACCAGAATAAGAGCAAAGAAGACTCCCTTCATTTTCCTTATGTGGCACAACAGCACCAGTGACTAGAACTAGCACAGTAAGGCTCAATTCACTTAAAAGTTGAAGGGATGAAAGATTGCAAGGACAGGTGCAAGGCTGCATTCATCTTTAAGGAGATCAGTGTACCTGAGGATCAGTCACGCTCATGTTGCAGGGCTCTTTTCAAATTGCTTCAGGTATGAGCACAGGCATTTTGAGACTTCTGCTCTGTGGCTTTCAGCCTCATCATTCTTTTCTCTAAAATGATTCCTTAAATCATATAAAGCTAACCATGCAAAGAAGAAAAGAAGAAAAACAGGTGTATCACCTGACAGAAACCAGTGAGACCTAACCAGCAGCCAGAGACATGCACAGACCTGGTGAAGTCTAAGCCTGCAGATAAGCTGTGTTTTGCCCACGCCCAAGTCAGACACGACACAACTTCGGAGAGTTACAGAATCCCTGGATCTCTGACTCCCTTCAGTAAATCTTGACGATGTTCCTTGCTAAAGCTTTGCTGAGTGGAGGAAGTGGCAGTGGTCGTGGAGGGAGCCTTGCACGTGGCCTTGGAGGTCTCCTAACAGGAGGTGGTGGACATGGAGGGAATATTGGAGGACTCGTCGGAGGTATTGTCAATCTTATAAGTGAAGCAGCAGCTCAGTATAATCCAGAGCCACCTCCACCTCCTCGCAATCACTTTACAAATGTGGAAGCTTATGAGAGCGACGAGATCAGGCAGTTTCGTCGCCTTTTTGCCCAGCTGGCTGGAGATGATATGGAAGTGTGTGCCACGGAGCTGAGGAACATCCTGAACAAAGTTCTTTCCAGACATCAAGACTTAAAGACAGATGGCTTCAGCTTAGACACGTGCCGTAGCATGGTAGCCGTCATGGACTGTGACACAAACGGCAAACTGGGCTTTGAAGAGTTTAAGTACCTGTGGAACAACATCAAGAAATGGCAGTGTGTGTACAAGCAGTATGTCACTGATCAGTCAGGCACTCTTGGGAGAGCTCAGCTGCCAAACGCCTTGAAGGCTGCAGGGTTCCACCTGAAAGAAGAGCTCCGCCAGGTGATCGTGCGCAGATACGCCGACGAGGACGGCAGCATGGACTTCAACAGCTTCATCAGCTGCCTGGTGCGGCTGGACGGGATGTTCCGCACCTTCAAGTCCCTGGACCGAGATGGAAGTGGACAGATCCAGGTGACCATTGAGGACTGGCTGCAGCTGACCATGTATTCCTGAAGGCATAGCAGAGAAGAACAAGCTTCGTCTGGAAGATACACAGGGAAGGCTACAATCCTGTGCTGTAGAACTGTAGTCTTTTCCTTGTTCTAAGGCAGATGGAGCTAGTGGTAGATGGCTCAGCTTCAAGTGTTGTGATTCCTCTTGTGTATGCATTACTCTGCTTTTCTGAAGGGTTTGTGTAAGTTGTCATCTGGATATAAGCCTGTCTCAGAAAACTAACTGGACTTTTAAAGTGAGGGAATATATTGAAAGGATCAAAGCTTCGCTATTTCTTTACGTAAAGTAGCTTGTATATGAGTATAACTATTATATAAAAAGCTCCTAAATTTGGTGTTGATGTTGCTGTTCTGATTTGTCAGCAGTCACTAAGCTTGAATAAAAGTCTGTTTGCCTGAAGGCAATCAGTGGTAGAGTCATGTAGTTATTTCTAACAGGGAAAAAACATTAGAGCTGCAATAACTGTAATGACCAGGGAATTTACATAATCATTTAATTTCCTTCCTACTGCTGCTTTTCATGCTTGGCTGCTGAAGCAAAACCTGAGTTGTATTGTCAGTTCTACCTGCTGGCCAGGGCAAAACTGAAATCTTGTCTGAGGCTACTTTTACACCAGTTTTCTCCTTCCTACAATTCTAGGAACTAATCTTTTCTCTCTTTCCTTCAAGCTTTAGTATAGTTATAATGCAAACAGCTTAAATTACTACATTTATATTTAGAGAAATTTGCTATAATGATGCAGTGACATAGCAGACAGCTAGCCCAAATCAACCTCTGGCTATCCAAGTTAAATTTCATCAGGGTACAGCATCCCACTCTGGCTTGTTATGTAGTTCTGGCTAAGATGTCAACTTTTGAGAAAGAAAAAGTGGAATAACATGAACTCTCAAAGATACATTTCTTTGAATTAAGGATTACACAGTTGATCAAAACAGCTCTTGCACAAGGAAAATTTCTCAGCAGGCACTGCTGCTTTAAATGAAAATTGTCTGGGGTGACTCACTGAGAAACACCACACAATACCTGCAGGGCATCTGCATGTTAATGGAGTATGTGGTTTGGTTTTGTTTGGAAACTTCCTTAGCTTTGATTTCTAAATCTTGCAGTTACACTTAGCAAATAGTATTTTCCAGATTGATGATGTCTTCCCTGGTCTTCTTAGAGAAGCCTTTTACTTGAAACTTAGGAGAAAATAACTTACAATTTTTGCCCAGACTTTTTTTCCTCCTGCATTTTGTTTAATAGCAAACTGAGTAACAGAAAAAGATTCATATTGGCCCAAGCTGTGATGAAAGAGGTCAGTTCCTTCCTAATGGCATTCACCCCACTCCCAGTTATCCAGTGGAAAAACACATAGTGCCATTTGGGCTCTGAGTAATAGAAAAGTGAGCACGTGGTAAAGTGTGATACCTCCAGGTGAGCACCATCCTACCAGGTTGGTTTCAGAATTTCCCTTTCTGACTAGTTAGAACTTGCAAATAGCAACAGGTGATGGGAATTTGAGAGTTACAGCAATAGCCTCTTACATGATGAACCTGGATATGAACACGAGAGCTGCATCTGCAATTCCTCCCCAAATGGTCCCATTAGTTTTAGCTTCTCTGTGGTAACCCTGTAAGTGACTGAGGGTTTATTTACCTAATAATTTATTTACCTGCCATGAATGGCAGGCACACACACAATACACACTTGATTTTTCCTGTTGCCTTACATAGTAGAGAAAAAAGTATTGATGCAGTAGTACTTTATACTGTATCTGTCTTGCAGTCCTTGTGCAGAACTAAGTGGAGTATGCTTATGACAATGCAACTTTCTTGTTTTTCTTAGATTTATTCTATTATACAAAAACACAACAACAAAATCCTAGTTACCATAGCATGCTATAGTGAAAAGAGTAGCAGGAAACTAGTTTGCTTAAAAGAAACAAGAGTTGTTAAGGTTACTCTATGTTTTAATTATTTTATGTAACATAAATACAAATACCTAAATTCTGATGTTCCACTTTGCCATTTAGAGAATTTGAGCTTAGCTCACGTGTTACTTCCTTAACATATTCTTGGGTACATAGCCTGCAAACACAGCTACTAGATGTGTATATAAAGACAGTTGCAAGTGCTTTTTTGCTGTGGTGTTCCACAAGCACTGAAGGTTTTCCTGCATTTTCAGTTCAACTCTCATCCCTTTTTACGAGCGACAACCCCATCATTTCTCCTTAACCAAAATGCCAGAGCATTTGGGAGTTAGCCAGCATCCTAGGGCTTAGTAAAGCTAGTCCCAACATGATCTTGCAAGCGTAGTAACTTTATTTCCTACTAAAATGGCTGAGTTCTATGCATCAAACTGCACTCAGTTTTGATTATTGGGTTTTAACACTTTAATGAAAGTAATATAACCCTTATTTTGTCATTTTTCTTGTCATTTTTCCATGTACAGCCACAGCTGTGCTAATTTCTTTCAGAAGTTGTTTTTAATTAGATTATTTTAGTTAAAGTTTACTTCCCCATTCTTTTCCTGTGATACATATTCTTAACTTTAAAAATAAATTTTAAAAAAATATTCTAGTCACATCAAACAATCCTTTGCTAAGAATACATTCTACAAAACTGTCCAAAAATAATATTCTATGGAACTTTGAACAATTATTATTTACACTCTTTCTTCAGTTGTTTTAAAAGTTTATGTTTGTAATGTTACACTTTAAAGTTAGATCTATTATCTCTGAGAACTACACTGTAGCCAAAATACTTAAAGTCCAGCTCTGCACCACAATGACAGCAGATTTGTAAATAAAACAGCATTTATGAGAGAACATTGTCCTTTTCTAATGATTAAAAACTGTCAAAAGTTATATCCCTTAGACACACATGCAAGTAACTTAAAAGTTCATATCTTATTCATATCTTTGCTAAAAAGTTTCCTTGAAATTCAGAGGTTTTTAAAGTACAAGATGTTCAAAGATGGGTTAGACCATCAGTATAAAGAAGATAACAGTTGTCTGTGCAAAAGAGTCTTGCATTGGTTTTGAAGGCTAAATAAAATTGTACCTTAACAGTTTTAAATCCTGTTAAATGTACAGCTTGATGATGAAAAGTTAGTACTGAACACATTATTACACGTATTTTGTTAATGAAGAACTGTCTTAAAAGCTAAATTCAATTACTAAAATCCCTGTTTCATAGCACCCAGGATTTTCAAAGCACTCTACAGAGCAGCCTTAGTATTCTCCCCTGGCACATTGCACTGCCAGCAGCAGGAAACCAAGAACAGAAAGGTTAAGGTTGGTATGCTCAAGTGGGCATTAGAAGTTGGTAGGAGAGCCAGAAATAGAATCCAGATCTGGCTGTTTGCTACAGATTTACCCAGGAGACCACCCCTCTCTCACTTGGCTAAAAAAGTTCTGTGCTGTTCTCAGACGTAGGGACTCCGCTTCTTAAAAAAATGTTTTTCCTCTTGAAGTGCACAGCACATTATCCACAAAGGGAACTCTGCTTTATACTTCAGTTTGGTTTTAAAACGTTTTTGATGAATGCCCTTATTGTGAAGGTTCCAAATGATGAGCTACAAGTCATCTCTGCTATGCTGTCATTAACTGCTCTGTGTCCCACCATGTAACACTTATAGATGGCTTTTCCCCAGGCAGATGTTTCCCAAAACACTCAAGAAACTTTCAGTGTGGTGACAGGAACACTACTGATTTCAACAGGCATCTGCCATTTTCCCTATTTGCAAATATAATGCAGCTTACATAAAATTATTCACAAATCCCATCAAAGCAAACTTCAAATGTTCTGTTGATGTAGCTTTGTAGTTATCACATTGAAATGTTCATCCACATCAAAACTGGAATTATCAGAGAAGCTGTTCCAATGAATTCCCTGCCTTTCTGGCTTAAAAGGTAGGACAGTTTATTGGCTTCAAAATAGCATGTGGAGCAGTGCATTTGCTTCAAAGAAAAGTTTAAGATAGACCAAGTAGATTTGTTTGTCCTTTCACTGGCATATATGTTATTGCTGAAGGTTTGAACTCAAAACAACAGCCTCTCTGTTGGCCTGTTTATTCTGAGACGTTGCATTGGTCTCTGAACTTCAGCAAGTACAAGTTCTGCATGCAGTCTTACAGTTACCTTAAACACATGTATTCCAGTTCATCCTAGAGCTTTCCTGAAGGTGAAGAAAAACTTTTGAGTTGATTTCATTTTTTTTGTTTGTATGTTTCTAAGATAGAAATGGATACCCAATTTCTAGCTACTGAAAATACATATATTACCCCTCCAGCCTTAGTATTACGTATTCAGTGAGCTGTTAGTATTTTTTCCAGGAAGAACAAATACCTCTGGTGGGTGTTGTAAACTGTATTAGTGCATGTTGTGTATTTGATTTACACAACAGCTTTTAAAGGGATTTGCAGTATTAACTGTAACTACTGCCATGCATGTTTTGGTTACAGAATGGAGATGGCACCATTGACTTCAGAGAATATGTAATTGGTTTGTCTATTCTTTGTAACCCAGCCAACACAGAGGAGACTATTCAGATGGCATTTAAGGTAAGTTCAATTTAGTGTAAATCTGCAAACCTGACAAATCAAGACTGACTGTAAGTCTGTTACCTTTCAAATCATAAGTTTATAGCTTCAATCTGTTATGCAAATGTGAGTAATACTCTTAAACCAATTGACATTTAGAGTGTAAAGGAGAGGGGAAGAATTGCAGGCATCATAGAAAAGGGTTTCAAAAGCCGTGTGAAGGCACTAATGAATATGTAACTTGGCAGCCTAACTCCAAAAATGATTCAGCAGCACTTGTGTTTTTTTTGCCTGAGGTTTTTTTCTCCTGTGATTCTTCAAAGTCACAATAGATGGAGTAATATCCTCTTGTGGGTCAAGGCTCACTAGAGTCGTTGTTCTTAACAAAGAGGAGGGAAAAAAAATCAAGGAAAAAAAAAATTCAGGACTGGCACATCCAAAATTGAGCTGCATCTCAGAACTAGTGGCTTGTACTATGGTGTCCTGACATGGTGCAATAGCTCCTTTCACATCTCAGGTACAGGGAGGCAATACATGACCAGGGATGGCCAGGTTGTGCATCCTTGCCTTGTTTTTTAGTAGCTCTTTGACACAGATTCAGTTACTTTACCCATTAATCTGGTCTTATGAACCATATGGAGCAATATATTGAGATATGGGTCATGTTCATCTTAAACTGGGCACTTTTTAGCATTGATGTGTACTTGGGAAGTACTAGAATTTTTATGGCAATCCATTATATCCACTGGCTTCTTTTTAGATAAGCACTACAACTGTTAAAAGTGATTTATGCTTTTTTAGGGATATTTATCAGTACAGATTCCTATGAAGAAGGAATTATTGCAGGAATAGCAGCTATTATTGGTGTTTCATTGTTTTGTTTTCCAGACTCCAGACTATACTCTCCAGTATCTTAACAGGTGTGCCGATTATAAAATTAGTAATTTGTTCTAATATCCAGTTTCAGCAGGAAGCAACTGGTTCAGCTGGTAAAAGCCTGTTTCAGTCTGAAATGGAACTATGGGTTTCCTTTTCCTACTTTTTTTTCTTTGCCATTAAACGTTCTTTCCTTCACAATGGGGAAGTTTGCCTGTAGCAAGTACTTGAGAATTACAGCCATCCATCCCTTGTGTTTCTCAAGGGGTGATTCATAGCAGATGTTTACTGTCACTGTGCTGGGAAGGATGGGATGATCAGCATGCATCCACTGCCTGCATTCCAGGAACCAAAATTCCTTGTTAACTACAATAATTCCTTAGTGGGTGACCAATCACATATTTCAGGTATTTTATGTCAGAACATAAACTATGGTAAGTTTAATCTGATAAGGGATGTGCCATAACCTAATGAAAATGAGGACTACAACCCAAGATATTCCAGTATAGAGAAGCTGAATCCAGTGGAGCCTTAGCATAGCTCATGGTGACCATAAACATAAACCTTTGCTTATTTTTTATCAGTTTTGTATTAGTTTTATCACTGAACTAATGCTGTGAGGTTTGTTTGTTTTTGCAGAATGTTCAAATCCCAGCTGTAGCATGTATATTGCTCTCCTAAGTGTCTGCTTAATCTTGTTCCAGAGAAAACACGTAAAATCTTTTGGAAGAGAAAGTAGCAGGGATGCAGCAGGTCTCCTGAAATCCCAGGCATTGTTTACAGATAACCTCTTGAATACTAGAAAGCCAGTGTGGGTGGCTGATGTGCACAGAAGGTCCACAGGCAAACTGATGCTGAAGTATTTGTACCCGTTGTGTCTTTTCCAGCTCTTTGACATGGATGACGATGGCACTATAACGGAAAAGGAGTTTGCTTCTATCATTCAGTCAGCACTGGGGCTGCCTGAGCTTGATGTTTCTGTGCTCTTTAAAGAAATAGATGCAGATGAAACCGGGAAGTTGTCCTATGGTAAGTTAAGCCCTTTTGTAACGGAGAATACTTTGATAGTCATATTGACAGTGAGTTTCCTTTTCTTCCTCCCTGGAATTCTCTGATGGTTCTCATACCTTGTTCCCGGGGAGAACTGTTGAAGCACAGACCTAGATACTTGTGTGATACTCATGAGATTCTTCAGAGGAAACAAACTGGAGATCGGCTTCAGTAAAAGAAGCAGGCACTGAAATTTTCTCTGATTCTACACTGTAGGATCTATTTTTTAAATGTTTTTCAGATGAGTTCAAGAATTTTGCACTCAAGCATCCAGAATATGCCTCATTGTTTACTACATACCTGGATCTACAGAGACACCAGGTAGATCTGTCAGATGAGCAGGACAGTGAGTCACTCAAAGGCAAACACAGCCCAGTCAGGAGCACAACCCTGGTCTCAGAAATAACACCAACTGCAAGAAATAAAGTCTGTCCTGAAGGCAATGAAGAGGATAGCTCAAGTACCTCTGACAAAAAAGATGACTGAATTCAGCTTTTGAATTCTACAAGATTTTTTCCCTAGCTGTTCATAAGCACAATTGATGTAAAATAGAGATGGAAGTTACAGTTTAAAAAAAAAAGTTTCTTTTTTTACTTTCATATCAGGAGGAGTTATTCCTGTTTGAGTGTAAGGGAAAAACCACTGTTCTATCCTTAATGTCCATATCACAACACTGGCAATGTTGTTCAGTGTCTTCCAAGTTCACACTTCCACAAAAGTAACAGCTGTGCTAAGGGGGGTAAGAAGCTCCAACACTGCAGTGGCCTCTCAGAATGGAGACTGAGGAGTCCACTTGTCTAAAAACAAGTGGAATTTTTGGTGCTGCTCAATTCCTCTACGTACCCAGTATGACTTAAGGGAAAAAAATTATGCCAGAGTGTTTTAATTTGCAATATCCATTAGCCTTTCTCAGGTTTCTGAGATACAGAAATGAATTACAGGAAGCTGAGAGCTGAAGCTGGTGGGTTTTGGCTGTCCTTAGATTTCCCTTAGCTACTTGTGAACCGGCAGACTTCAGCTTCTGAACAAGACATGCTGATTCACTGATGTTAGCAGAAACAACTTCAGGCTTAAAGGCTAGGTAAAGGTGGAAATGGCTGCACTTCTAACAACAGAAAACTAATTGGAATTCCAAGATAGCAGCTCAGTCTACAGGAAAATGCAGACAGTAAGACCTAAGA